TTAACAGAGACTTTCACTTATTGAGGACTTTTACTTTGGCTTTTACTTTCTGCTGGTCTATTATGGCTTCAGAGTTATTGGTACTGTAGGTGAACAAATATCTGTTTTTGTTTGTTTTTTGTGGCAGTTTCAATCTTAATGGACATTGTATTATTCAAATTAAATTTGAGAAGAAGGGAAGAGTAAAATGGCTTCAAAGCGTGGGGGAACTTTCCCTCCCCCTCAGAAAGGCTTGAGCTCTTCTTCTCCAGCTGTACAGATATCACAGCAAACAAAACCTACTCCTCCACCCTCTCCTCCACTGCCAGCTTTAACACTGAAAGATTTACAAGATGCTTTAAAAGACACTGTTAAACAGTTTGAACAGAAACTTGAGGAGAAACTTGAGGAAAAACTTGAAGAAAAAAATGCTGAGATGAGAGATGATATAGTGTTTGCATTGCAAGCTCTGGCTGATAATGTAGATCGTGTTGCAGTGCGGGTTGATGAGGTGGAGGAGCATATTGAAGTGATGGAATTTAGAATGGGCAAAGTGGAAGAAAATACAGATATAAATCAGAATGAGATTCTTATGTCTCAATTCAGAGAAATGGAACATGCGCTGAGAATAAGAGGGATAGCTGAAAATGCTCAAGAAAATCTGGAGGAGGAAATTGTAACAGAACTAGCTCTGGTTTTGTCCTGCCAACCTGAAGATCTAAAGAAAGAAGTGGAAAAATTGTTCAGGGTCAATTAATGGGTGGCGAGACAGAAAAATCTTCCAAGAGATGTAGTGATTTATTTTTCAAAGAAGTCAATCCGTAATGAAATTATTCAGGCTTTTTACAAACAAAGATTTCAAATTTTAGGCCAAGACGTGATAATTTTAAAAGAAATACCACCTAAGATACTTAAAAGAAGAAAAGATTTTGCGTTCTTGGCTGAAGAATTGAAACTGAGACAAATACAATTCAGATGGGAGATACCAGCAGGTATAATGGTTAATTATATGGGAGTCCGCTACCGTC